CGCAGTGCAAATCATTATATTATTTTATTTTTATTAATCAGTTGTCAATATTCCCGTCACGGAACGGCGACTACAGCATCAGAGGAAAATATGCGAATATGTGTGTATTTTCCTTTGGATGCCACTGTGTTACAAATCAACTTGTTGTTTTGCGTATGTCGCGTTCCCGAGTTGAGGAGAGGTAAACGACCTCTAGATATGGAGGTTAGCTACCTCAAATAAGCAGTCGCGGACAGGCATCGCTGAAATCACAAGAGCACGACCGCATTCGAGTTCGACGAGTTCAATCCTCAGAGAAATAAGTCATAGCCCCCAACGACAGTTTCATGTCTCTTTGAAGAAAACATCAACCGATAATACCGATGCCTCGCGGTTCGACGTCGGTTCATCAAAGACTACAAGAGAAAACTTCCATAGAATGCCACAGGCCCCTCTCAGCTTTGCTAGCAGGTAGCGAAGCTCAACGCACTGTGGCAAAGCAAAGTGGCTGCGGTCGGTACGATTCATCGCTTAATTCTGCCCGGTCCAGGTGATCCAGTGATATTTCCCTTTGTATTATTATTCTCATAGAGATTCTATTTCGATCATGCACTCAACCTTTAATAACTGTCGATCATCGGGCGATGATAATGATGAGCGTAAGAGAATGCATACTGTATTTTGAGTTTTGTTCTGTAGGAAGTCTTGGCTCCTGGATAAAACACTGTTTTCTTGTGAATGTACCTGACAGGGTGAGCATTCACGCAAACGCAACGAATATATCATCATTTTATCACACACTTATTTGCATTTATATGCTATATTCTAATTGACGGAAGGGGTGCTGAAATGACCAAATTTTAAGCGCTTGTACTATTCATATTTTTTTACATTCATTCTTTTCGAAGTCGTTTACTTTTCGCTAAGCGGGGTGAGGAGAGGAAAGTGTCAAACTACGTCAGATAAGTTTTAATCACTGGCACTCGTTTTCTGCCGACTGCGTGAGTCTCGTCCATGAGTGAACTATGGATAACAGTTAGACGTGTTTGAGCCGACCCTCAATTCCTGGACTGTAAGACACCGGTAAGGCAAGTGCAGCAGCAAGTTAAATTGCAAGTTATAGTAACGCGGATCTGAAGACATCTTTGAAGTTCATAGTTATGCATATCATATTGCAATATACTAAACTGTGAAAGCGCATAATAACTTACAATAATTCCATACATTCGACGTATGTTGATGCGTTATTTCCCCAGCGCTGCGCGGGCGAAGGTTCGGGCATACACGGCTTGCCTTCATAGATTATGGAAGAAGCCAAACCTGAGGATAAACACGGTATCAATATCGGTCCTGCA